GGAAGCGTTGAACTTGCAGTTGTAACACAGTTTTAGCAGTATCTTAAAGTGGGCAACATCAGAACAGCATCTCCATCATTTGTCACCGTCACTGCAACGTTTGATGTGCCTGTAGATGGCGTGTTCTACGCGGTCTAAGCCATTGCTGTCAATTACAAGTATGTGGCAGGGTCGCCTACTGAGCGAAGTGTTATTTTGCCCGTTGGCAATAGGATGGGATTCAGATGGTAACAAAAACAAATCCCAACTCCAGACGCTGATCGTTGTTGAACATATATGCATCGAGGAGCCGTAGGGTAGCCTAGTGGTTACAGCGTTGGCTCGTCATGCCGAAAACCAGGTTCGAATCTCAACATGGGTACAAAGTGACACACATTTCAGGTGTCCCCGTAATATGTCTATGATACTGATACAGACGCTTAACCATACTCATTCACTCACACACTCCATCTTCCCGAGGCAAGAGAGTTAACTGACTTTAAAAGTCCAGTTTCCACCCTTGCTGAACTAAGCTGTAATTCCTGGGCTCGACCGTAGCGCCACCAGTGGCTATTAAACGTTATGTCCCTTCTATGCCTCTCCTATGGACCAATCAGATTCCACCTCTCTTATCACTTGCATTTGCTTCAAGCAAAATAGCGGCGCCCAGTCAAGACGATCTGATCGATAATCAAGATCTATATTGTGATAAAACGGGTCTTACATCGCGAAGTGCATCAAATCATGTGAGCTGATTGATTAAAAGCATGGAAAAATTTGGAAAATGTCTGTTGACACCGAGTTGGCGGTGCACATGCTTTGTAAATACTGCAATCGACCGAAATATGCATGACAGTTTACGAACCGGATTTCGATTTCGTTGCTTGGTCTTGATTGGACTCGTTAGTCCAGCCAAAATGTAACTCAATAATACCAGCCTAGTTCGGCAAGGGTGGAAACTGGACTGGTCAGTTAACTCCCTTGCCTCGGGAAGATGCACACAAACAGACCATAAACACAGGTTACGAGAGTTCAATTCGTAGTGAGTTATATAGTAAACTACGTTTATAACGGACACGCTTATAACGAACTGACCGATATAACGAACTTATTTTTAGTCCCGGCCATTTAATGAATATATACTGTATACATGTATATGCATATAACGAACTACGGTTATTACGAACTAAAATTAGTGGTCTCTTTGAGTTCGTTATAACCCTAGTTTACTGTACTTAAACCGTATCAACAGTTTTGCAGTCATTCGTGGCGAGCAACTCGATAGTGGACGCGTGGTGTGTCATCAACTAAGCAGATACGTGAATATATGAAGACATGTACACCTGTCATTAGTAAACGTGGGTAGTAATATTTTGTCGAACTCAACAGGATATATTCGTAATCTTTCAATGTTCACTTTTGTTCAACTTTGCGGAATATATTCGTAATCTTGCATAGTTCTATATTGCCAGTTTTGCGGGATATATTAATGATCTTGCACAGCTCCATACTTCCAGTTTTGCGGGATATATTCTTAAACTTGCATACATCAATATTTCTAGTTTTGTAGGATATATTTATGATCTTGCATAGCTCTATATTTCCAGTTTTGCGGGATATATTCTTAAACTTGCTTACTTCAATATTTCCCGTTTAGTAGGATATATTTATGATCTTGCATAGCTCTATATTTCCAGCTTTGCGGGATATATTCTTAAACTTGCTTACTTCAATATTTCCAATTTAGTAGGATATATTTATGATCTTGCATAGCTCTATATTTCCAGCTTTGCGGGATATATTCTTAAACTTGCTTACTTCAATATTTCCAATTTAGTAGGATATATTTATGATCTTGCATAGCTCTATATTTCCAGTTTTGCGCGATATATTCTTAAACATGCCGACTTCAATATTTCTAGTTTTGTAGGATATATAAATATCTTGAATAGCTCTATATTTCCAGTTTTGCAGGATATATCTGTATTCTAAGCACACATCGGGCCGATCCTCGCCATGTAGACATATTTGTAAGTTTCTCCATCCATGTGATGAGAATAACAGACAAGGCTAATACTGCCTTCATTAGTATGCATGTCGAGAAAGTCTGCTTCTTTCATCTTGTTCTGAGGTTAAACTTTACCCACTTCAGTCGGTCTATTCTCAGCCAACTAACTGTTTCCTCGAGGATATACACATAGACAACAGCACTAAGGAATCACCTGTCCTGCCTATGTCCTCTTAACGGCCTGAACCGTCGTTACATGTCACATTAGCTGGTCATAAGGCCGCGATATAGCACAAGAAGGTTTAGTAAGTCCATCAATTAGGAGGTGTCACTCTATTGCCCTATATATGGGAACTTTAGCTATATGCTTATAGTGTTGCCATAGGGTTACGTAGGCCTATACTGGTGACAGGATCCCAAGATCAAAACAAAATAAACAAATAAATAAAACACAATTCTTTATACTATTTTCTCGTTGAATCTGTTACAGAATTTCAATACTTAGAAATCCTTAGGTAGGTCTATATTATCGTCTATAATTATGGTACTTATTGTTACCCTGCCTGGTGCTCGGCATTAAGGGATAAAACAAGGACTGGTTAGCTCAGTAGGCTGCGTGTGAGTGGGATATCCATGTTTAAACTGTAACAGGATATCTCAGCAGACTAGCAGTATAAAACCGACTAGTCCGGACTAGTACAAGCTGCCACACACACACTTGCAACAACGTTGCTGTATAAGTGCAATATATGTATATATATTCTTACTGTTTTAAAGTATTTTGTAAGAATAAACGTGTTGTCTCTTTACCAACATTTCTTTCATTTAGGGTAATACGCTTATACCGAGCGGCGGTCGGGTAGTCTAGTGGTTAAAGCATTCGCTCGTCACGCCGAAGACCCGGGTTCGATTCCCGACATTGGTACAATGTGTGAAGCTCATCTCTGGTGTCCCCCGCCGTGATATTGCTGGAATATTGCTAAAAGCGGCGTAAAACCATACTCACTCACTTATACCGAAAAACCTTTGGTAACAGCGGTAATGACCCCAGATAACCATCTACACACCCTTCCTCCACCCGACTGTGTTTACAGTCCTCGGCTGCACCCTTATCCCCTTACGACCTTCACAAATGGACTCGTCAAACGTCAGAAGCTCTTAATTTCTTGAGAAATTTCAGCTTTCTTTCCAAAATATCTCTTCACGATTGTTATTTGAAAACTGAACTTATGGCCGATTTACTTTCGGAACTCCCTGGATTAAATGGAGTGAAAATTGAGCATAGATATGCCTTTGAACTATTAATAAAATTCAAAAAAGCAATCCAAGTGTTTCAAAGGCTTGGAGTCTAGATTGTTATTGCCATCATTTGGGAGAGGTCCAGTATTTATAGGGGACGTAGGCCTTTAAGCTGTTGTGAGCAGTAGGGACCACACAAGTGGGTTATAGTGTATGACAAGAGTAATCCTGCGCTCGCTCATATATAATCTGTCTTAAGACACTGAGACATGTTCAGCCCAACCTTGGATTTATTTTTGTCGGGCAAAATGTCTTTTTTTGTCTCATTTCGAAAACCCTGTGCTACGTTTCCTCCATGGCGTTTGGACGCTTGTTATATTGGTGTAGACAGTTGTGTGGTTACAGCATACAAGGTTGCTGTAATACTTGACCCCTAACTGTATCTGTGACCTCAGGTCACGGCGCATGGCAGACAACTGAAACGCGCCCAAAGATTTATGGAAATTGAAGAGAAGTTGCGCTTTGGAATTTAAAAGAGTTAATATTTGGGCGAATTTCATCATGTATCCATATTTTTGAAAGGATATATATATGGAATTACATTTATACAGTAAATATACTTTATGAAACACATAGTGTTTTAGGAGCATGTCGGGTTTCTTATTGTCATTTTTTTATTATAAAAAAAATGATAACATTAGTTTTCAAACAAGGGTAACTTAAATATACTCAGCTTCATTAGGTATGTATGGTGTCCGTGGCTTAATGGATAGAGCGTCTGGTCGGGGAGCGGAAGGTCGGGAGTTCGATCCCCGACCGTGTCATGACAAAAGACGTTAAACGATGGTACTTGTTACCCAGCCTGACGCTCGGCATTAAGGGGCTAAAAACAAGGACTGTTCGGCTCGGAGTCAGTATACAATGTCTGAGTGAGGTATTCATGTTAAACTGCGGCATGGTATCTCAGCGGCCTAGCATTATAAAATCAGCATCAGTCCTGGCTAGAATAACGAGCCACACACACGTGCATGCACGTCGCTATATAAGTGCAATAATTTTGAACCCGACTTTAAACCTTATTTCACCTCACCCCTAATTACGTAATGCGTCAAACATGAACATATGCCAAAAAGCGGAAATAGGTCTGAGTATGTTGACAATGTGATTATGAGTTGTTTGTTTGTTTGTTTGCTTGTTTGTTTGTTGTTTAACGCCGCACTCAGCAATATATCAGCTATATGACGGCGGTCTGTAAATAATCGAGTCTGGACTAGACATTCCAGTGATTGACATCATGAGCATCCTTCCACACACTTGGGATACGATGACATGCATCAACCAGGTCAGCAAGACTGACCACCCGATCCCGTTAATCGCCTCTCACGACAAAGCATGGGTTGTTGAAGACCTATTCTACCCCGGATCTTCACGGGTCGATTATCAGTTGAAGAACATGTTGTTTATGCCCATGTCACACAGATTGGATGTTTTTATAAAACTGGAAAAATGGACAATGACTATCAAAAACCATGAACAGTGCAAGATTGAAGGTGACTACCCAAAACACACAACACGCTCCTGAACGCAACCAGTGGCTCAGCCAATGCGGGGGAAATACAAGTAACAGGCAGTGTGGGTATAAAATGGTTCATTATAGATGTAACTCAACTACACTCTTGGAAGCTGAAACTGCGGCATTTTATCTCTTTAATATTGTCTGTGTGATCCCCCAATAATGACGCTGGGTATATGTTGTTGTTTTTTTGTTTTTCAGATCCAAGCCCAAAGCCTGTTCTGAAACACCACTGGGCGTACACCGGAGAGGACGGTGAGTGTGTTGTTGGGATAACACTACGCGCGTTTCATTATTAAAAACTGAACGACCAAGATTACCACATTTTTGTCAACTAGGATTCAGCCTGAATAAACCAGTGTTAATTGAGAATAACTTTGGGCAGTACCCGAAATAAAACGCAAAAAATGCAACCTTATATATAGAATTAAATGGTTGCTTAAAGGAGAAACACGACGGCCATTGGTTTTGCTATCACACAAGCAAACGAGAGGTTCTCATTGCTCGGCATGTTAACACATGCTGACATTCATCAACCAAGGTTTTGAAATCAAACGCAAATACTGTTATGCACAACCGATTGGAACAACCGAATCATATTTTACAAAAAGACTACATTTTTTTACGATCCGTATACACTGATGGGCAAAAGAATGTATCCATTTGACATTTGGATTTGACCCCCAAAATTATAAACACAGTATTTGAATTGTATCATAGGAGACGCTAAACCAGACTTAATCACAAACTACAGGTAAAATCAGAAGTACAAATATAACCCCAATCAAGGCCGTAATCAACTTTTATTGAAGAGGGGGCGGGGGCAATTATTTGTACAAGTATCACTTGTCCCCAACTTGTATTTTCATGATTCAAATAATCTACGGCACTGCCAGTTTCACCTGCTTGATTAATCACAATTTAAACAATGAATCACACACGCCACACTCTATCCAGTGGGCGTACATCCTCGATTGATCAGGCACGTGGACGACACAGACAAATAATGCCACACACGGATCATTGAGGTGGCAGCTGTTCTACATCAGCCTGGTCTTCTGGGGTTCCCAACTCACTCACTCACTGAAACATAACTTTTTATGTATCTGTAAATAGAACTGTCACTATGGTGTTTTTTTCTGCAGGTCCTGACTTTTGGCCTCTGCATTACGATATCTGCGGGGGTCGCCGTCAGTCGCCTGTCAGCTTTGATGACAACATTATAGAGTACAATACAAATCTACCAAAGTTTCAACTCTACAATTTTGACGTGTACAGTCAGCTGACAGGCAACACAGTCTTGAACATAACGAACAATGGACACGCAGGTAGAAATTCATCAAACTCTTTTAAATTGGAAATGTTTAGACTGTTCTTGTTTCGTTAATTTTTCACTTCTATCATGTCTGTATAATATGTAGACACAAATAAGCCCAGTTTAAGTAATCTCTTTTACGTTTCTTATCAAATGTTCACGTATGACCTTCACCTTAATTCTACTTCCGGTACAGCGAGTTGTGCACTCAAGGGAGACTACTACGTTGATGGCGGCGGCCTGGCTGGTCACTACCGAACTGCTGAGTTCCACTTCCACTGGGGCGGAGACAACTTCAGGGGGTCGGAACACGCCTTGAACGGGATGAAGTATCCCCTAGAAGTATGTGCATTAGATTTTGTAGATATTGATTAGCCTACAGTCCCCGAATATAGATATATATGATATTAAATATAAATAATTCTACAAAGAAGCCCTTGAGGTTTAATACCGCCTCCGTGGTCCAGTGGTAGGACACAAGTGAGTAAGTGAGTGAGTATGGTTTTACGCCGCTTTTAGCAATATTCCAGCAATATCACGGCGGGGGACACCAGAAATGGGCTTCCCAAATTGTACCCATGTCGGGAATCGAACCCGGGTCTTCGGCGTGACGAGCGAACGCCTTAACCACTACGCTACCCGACCGCCCCAGTAGGACACAAAACATGGATGTGTACTTTCTTTTGCAGATTAGTATACCCGAACACCTGTAACACTATCACATAAAAATGTCAAGCATACTTCAGGACACGCACACGCAGACGCACACGCACACACACCATACACTCTCGGGATCTGCGTATGTGTTCAAAGAATGTACTGGCGGATGCAGATGGGGGCCCAGGGGGCCGTACCCTACTCCAACCGCCATCCCAACCCCCAAACCCATCCCCATCCCAACCCCCAAACCCTACACCCACCCCATCCCACCCCACCCCACTCAAATGTAGTATGTTGTAGGCAGTAAAATTGTCTGAGAGAGAATATTTTGGACCCCTCCCTCTTTAAAAGTTTTGGATCCGCCCTTGTATTGTGCATGATATGAATGTAAATATGCTGTTGGTGTCGTTACAGATGCACATCGTCAACTACGCTGAAAAGTACGGGAACCTGTCCGAGGCCATGAAACATCCAGACGGACTAGCAGTGCTTGGGGTCTTCTTCAAGGTAATCTGGTTCCACCGCAAAACGACCAGAACTATAATAAATAAATACAGACATAAACATACATGTTTATACCAGGGTCCCGTGCCACAAAGCGATCTCAGCGCTACGACTGTCGCAAGTCTGTTTTAAAGTATGGGAGCTACGACCGTCTTAGTGCTAAGATCGCTTCGTGGAATAGGACCAGGTAGTGTAAAATAGATGGTATATATCCCCAAACGTTAAGTTTCGAGTTTGAGCTACAAATATATCTACGTATATGACATACAGTCGTTTTACTTGTAGGTCTCGGAAAAGGATAATCCTAGTCTACAGCCGATTATGTCTGCACTGCGAAACATCGTCCACTACGGTATGGCAACAGTGATTGTGACTACATATGTATGCCCGTTACCATAACAACGGTTCTTCTTGTACTTCATCTAAGATGTTAGAAGGTGGCCAAGTTGGTTCAAGCTCCTCATTTTGCTGTACCAGGTTCAAATTATGGGTTCGAATCCCATACTGGTGAACTCAGACAAGAACGCGTTAATCTTGGTTTCTTCCCATATGCAGTCGACGCTCGTGATATAACTGAAATAACGTTCACGACGCCACTTAAACTCACTTACTCATAGAACCCGAAGTAGTTATTCCCCTTGTCCACGAATGACACGAGAGACCCGTGAAGATCCGGGGAAGAATAGGTCTTCGGGAAACCATGCTTGCCGTAAAAGGTGACGATGCTTGTCGTAAGAGGCGACTAACGGGATCGGGTGGTCAGGCTCGCTGACTTGGTTGATGCATGTCATCGTATCCCAATTGCGTGGAGTGATGCTCATGTCAACCACTGGATTGTCTGGTCCAGACTCGATTATTTACAGTTTGTTTGTTTTTTTGTTAACGCCGCACTCAACAATGTTCCAGCTACATGACGGCGGTCTATAAATAATCGAGTCGCCACTCGAGAAGCATAGTTTGCCCTAGACCTATTCGAACCCGGATCTTCACAGGTCGATTATTTACAGACCGCCGTCATATAGCTGGAACATTGCCTGAGTGCTACGTTAATCAACAAATAAACAAATAAACACGAGAGATCGTGAAAGGTCATCAAACTATCTTTCCCTGAATGACAAAACAATAATGTGCACGGATAGATTATTTATCACATTGTCACCTCCCGTCACTATTCGCACACTTCCGTATTTTCCCGGAATGACACGAGTGATTTTGAATGGCAAGCCTTATATACGTCTCATATTTCGTACCGTTTTGTAGGTAGCTACGAGGTGATCAACAACTGCTCAGTTCGGGCCTTGCTACCTAATGACCTGAGCTCCTATTACCGCTATGAGGGCAGCTTGACAACTCCACCCTGCTACGAGAGCGTGCTGTGGACAGTGTTCACGGAGGTCCAGGATGTGTCCGAGAGACAGGTAGGAGACACAGCTGAGGTGTTACCCCCCCCCCCCCCCCCCCCCCCCCAGGCCCACCTTGGACACGACCGTCCCTCCCCATCCATGACAGACACCACCATCCATCCCCACCCATCCATCCCCACCCATTACAAACACTACTATCACTCCCAACCCGTCACGGGGCGGTCGGGTAGCCCAGTGGTTAAGGCGTTCGCTCGTCACGCCGAAGACCCGGGTTCGAATCCCGACATGGGTACAATGCGTGAAGCCCATTTCTGGTGTCCCCCGCCGTGATATTGCTGGAATATTGCTAAAAGCGGCGTAAAACCAATCTCACTCACTCACCCAACCCGTCACAGTCATCCCCACCCAATCCTCCCATCTTGATAAAATATACACACCTAACGCACGCACGTACCCACGCACAAACGCACACGCTTGCAAGCACACACGCACTCACACAACCTGCCTCAAACGATGGAAAACACAATCCTTCAAGGCTCATCGCCTGAAATAGACTTGTATAACTCACTTCAGATCAAATAACGTTCCAGTTCACGTAAGATATGGGACTTTCCCTGGTGTGCCTGGTCACGTGAGTGTTGTGTCACGTGACCTGGGATCATCAACCGCGAGTGTCGGGTGACCCACAGAAGGCCGGGCTGATGTAGATCACCTGCCACATCAATGGCCCCTATGTGACGTCATGTCTCGGTATCGCCCACGTGACTGTTCAGTCGAGCACGCACGCCTTCTTCATACAGTGTGTGTGATGCATTCTTACAATTGCCATTATCAAGCAGGTCAAACTGGTGTAACAGCCGCTCTTCTGATATTCCCTGCAGTTTGTCATGTTAATTGTTAAGTAAAGTAGTTAGAGAGTGGACTGGGTTTAACTCCCCTCTGACGTGCATTCCAGTTATATCACGGAGTTTCATCTTGATTTGGAAGGAAGGCCCGAAGTGATACAGGTCTCAGACGTATACCACCTCGGTGAAACCCACGAGCACAGTTATGGTGCTGACAAACCTAGAAACATAATCGGGGAGAACCGGAAGTTTATGTTTACAATCGAAGGTTCCTGGTGTGCCCAAGGGACGCAACTCTGCGAACCGAAAGTAACTGTAAATTGATAGGCATGAGGAAATCTGGTTAAAACGTTTTCTTGTCGCGCCAACAAGTATCTATGGGTCAAATGTAGGTGGTTTTTTCCTCGTATCCCCACCGTGAGAGACCACCTCCGTGGTTTAATGGATAGAGCGTCTGCCCTGTGAACGGAAATTCGGGGTTTCGAATCCAGGCTGCTTCATACAAAAATACGTTAAAAGATAGTACTTGTTGTTACGCTGCCGTTACGTCCCTTGGGCACGTTTGGAACCTACGATTGTGGGTTAAAATCCCAGTTCGTCCCGATTTTATTTCGCTCAGCCCAACTCACTCACTCACTCACTTTGCATGACAAATATATAAACTCTGTGTTTGTCTGTTGCAGCTTGATGCTCTGCGCTCACTATACGAACATGACCACGAAAGCCACTCCCCTATCAGCGGTCACGGGTTGGCGATGAAAGCCCCGAAAAAGATGGCAGACAACTTTAGGCCTCTTCAGGCGCTCAATAGAAGACGGATTTACAAGAGCTTCCCAGGCACGTCCGCACAACAGAGTCTGCGCTCCCCAAATCCGTCCCCTTCCCCTCTGGCAAGTCAGCTGGGGACAAGTGGGATCGTCCAGGGGGGTCAGAGTCAGGCTGGTGCCAAGACGCCGGGGACGACAGGCATGACAGGTATCGCCAGGCCTATTGGTTCGGGTGGTCCGACCTTGGCTGAAATCATTAAGAACCAAGGCACCATTTTGGCAGAGGTGCAGAATGCCCAGAAACAACCAGTTGTCATCTCAGAAGCCAATTCCAGATTCCCAAGCTCATCTCAAAACGTCGACGCCAAAGGAGCAGCTCGGCAAACTCAGCAGACACTGAGCGAGCAGAACACAGACGTTAAACTTCCGTCGGCCGGAATCATCGGGCTTGTGGGTAATACCCCGGTACAGATGACAACAACTAGACCTGCGGCACCTTTTGTAACCCTCGTCAGTGGGAAGTTCCTTCCTCCTCTACTCCCCGGGGAGAGTATGCTACAGTCCGGATCCGGCCCTTTCAGACAAGGAGTGGGGGCGAGAACACCGTATGTCCAGGCGGTAAACAGAACCATCATGACGTCAGGAGCTCTCCAGAAGCCTCCGTACAACCCTAACCAGTCTGTAGGCTCCAAGTACAACGGGCCAGTTCCAGGAGTGGTATGGTTGTTCCCCACCACAACCCGGCCCCCGACTCGGAACCGCTGGACTCCGCGTAATCGCGGATACGTGAGGCCAATGCATCGACCTTCAAACTCTCGGGTCGTCTACCAACGCCCGCCATCATCATTCCACTACCGCTACCCAATACCGATTCAACGGCCTCCTCCAACAGTGTTCCTCAACTCAGCCCCAAAACCTGTGCGCGTTCAGAAACCTTACTTCTACAACTTCTATTTCAACCGCAACAGCCCTTCACCATCGCGGTACTCCCATTCCCCTGGTGGCTTCGGGGGGTTAGACTTTGGGGCTCTTGGGGAACTGAAGAAGAGACGCCGACGAAGCCACCCAAAACAAGAACATGGATGCAAGCACTAGACTAGAACACAAACAAGGACTACTGACGGCGGTGCGGGTTCTCTCCCCTTGATACATTGATGACCTTGCCCTTGACCTTGAGATCAAACACTACGCAACGGGTGACTAAAGTGGTCGTTCCCAGGTTCTTATGTAGAATAACTATATCAGAAACGTGAAACGTTGCAGCAGGTGTTCGACCTTTTGGTTGTGGATGTTGTAGAGTCCCATCTCTGAACTGAGGATAGGAAGTGTTGAGCTGGGATCATGTTCCATAATGGTGTCCTCGTCATCCCCGGTTGACTGATCTCGATGAAACAATGTAAAGATGTTCCGTTATATGGGATCCTCTTAGTCTCGACAATCAATTGCAGTCTGAATGTCACAATAGCTCAAAAACACGTCTGATAAAATGGCTTCCATTGCAGCAATTCATCTGGGATTCTGTAATTTATTTACCTCTTTGTGATCTTCTCTCCATGTGTTTCCTTCGACTTTAATTCCACATTTGTGTTTTTGTTATACTATTGTGAATATTCTTCGACAACCTAGCTTCAAGTCTGTTTGTATTGACACTGTTTACCACGTATATATTCTGCTATTGATACATCGCGTTTATTGTAGTGTTTTGTTAAAAAATAAATATCTGTTAAAACAAACATACGACTACAAAAATGAATTCCATGCTTCTGCAGTATCGTCGGTTCAAAAGCGACCGCACACTACTACTCAATCTCGTTAAAATCAGATCTCGAAAGTTAGGTCTATACGACTGATTCCGTCAAAACCATCGTTTATCTCTCGCTTTAATGAGGTAAAGATTTGAAACGGAAGAGACTTTTCATAGCCAGTCGAAAGTACTGCCATAGAATCTCAGTCAGCTATAAAACATTCCAGAATTTTCTGTTGTTCCGTTTTCAAGTTTTCAATAATCACTAAACAAATAGCAGAACATAACCAGTCTTATTTAAACACTATGTTCACAGTTTGGTGATGTATTTCATGCAGGATACAAATGTATAGACAAAGCAGAAACACAAAAATAATTTTTAGACCATATGAATTGTTACTGAAATTTAATCACAGATAAATCGAGTACTAGTAATTAAACAATTATTATATGTCCTCGCAGAACATAACGTACACGACGTGAGGTCTTGTTGAAGCGATCTTAACACTACGACTATCCTAACTTCTATATTTTGGACCGACTCCGTGGTCAGGCGGGTAGAAAGTCACCCAGGTGAGCGGAAGGTCGCTTCATACTAAACAAGTTGAAAGATGGTACTTGTTGTTATCTTGCCTGACACTCGGCATTAGAGGATTAAACTAGGAATGGTCGGCTCAGTCAGTTTACTGTGTCTAAGTGGGGTATCCATGTTAAAACTGTGGCATTAGTCCGGACTAGTACAAACAGTCACACACACGAACGCACGCACGCACACACGCATTAACGTTGCTATATATGTGCAATAACCTTGACCGAAACGTTAAACCCCATTTCACCTCACCTCTCCCATACCCCTCAATAGAATGAGGCTATCAAGACGCTAAGATAGCTTTGTCGAACACAAAGACATTGAGCGTCGCTATACAAGTGCAATAATTTTGAATGCGACGTTAAACATTTCGCCTCACCCCACTCATATTCTAACATAGGTAACTATAGGTAGTCATAACCCTAGGATATCTGTATGGAGCAGTCCCAGAGTCGGTTAGTATTAGGCGAAGACTCGCTGTAGAAAAACAGGTCATTTGTCACTTGCAATGTGGTGTATGTCTGTGTCACGTGACTCGTGTTGTGTTCGTAACGTCAGTTGCGTAAGCCATTATGGCGTCGTGCCGCCTTGTACATATACCTCATTATCAGGTTTTACACCGGGAAGACAGTATGTTCAAAGGGACAATGGAGCATGTAGGCTTATTGCGCTGATAGTGGGTTATGTAATGAGAATCTGTTGACACCGGAAGTAGAGCCAACGAATCCCGAGCCTAAAGGTTCAAGAAGCGTTCGTTTGTCACGTCAAATGCACGGTTTGGATTCCATCATGAGTACAAAGAATATTTCTGGTATTCCCCTCTGGGATATTTCTTGAAATCTAAAATCTTCATGGAAAGTTCCAGGAATTTTGAAACGGGTATCTTAGGTGATATAACACGCATAATGTCAATGAGTATTGCCGATGTGACGTTAAATTTCACTCACTCACTCATATCAATGAATATCTCACAACAGATGACGTGCATATGACGTCTCAAAGGACGTGGGAACATAATTTCACAGTACACAGTAATGAGCAGAGTGAAGTGTGAATTATTTGCCCGGCAAGTTAATATTATATCGTATATCAACTCTTTTCCACCAGGCGATGAGTTCAAGCTACTGTTCTCGTCCGTCATGTCCGTCAATTACAAAAGATGTCTTCTTTCAAATACACACTGAGAACAATGGTCAGAAACAAACAGAACATTCTCAAGAAAACATACATACTATAACAACATTGATCACATTCATATCAACAATCCGTATGTCGAAGAACACTAAATCTACATTTTTTGCACACGTTTGCAATCTCATTAAAATCAGATCTAATTTCTCGCTGCCGCTAAACAAGACATCCCATTACGGGTCACGTCAGAACGACCTTTCGCGAACTTTGACCGACCGCTGAAATGACTAAGAAGAACACGACATCAGCCAATTAGAAGCAGCTTTCTCGAGCTTTACGACACTCGTTTCAACCTGGCGACTTCCATTTCAGACTACTCTTAAAAGATATGTTGACACAGTTCTCGATTAAAATTTTGGAAATTGAACAAACGAACATTCCGGAATGTCTAATGTATGGATGAGATTGCCTGGCAATGCTTCCCACGTACTGTGCAACGCCTCCTCCGTTTAAATGTTTATCCCACGGAAGCGAGAGATAGACGGAAACAGTCGTACGGGCCGTAACTGTCGTTCGTAGACTAACCTCTAGTCTCTGAAATGAACATATCGTACATAAAAAAACAGTTGTTCAGTTATCTTAATAAAATATAATAAAAAGGAGCCCAGTGACTCTCTTCATTTTATACTGCAGTGATCTAGACTTGCCAAACATTATAGACTTGCATGGGCTGTATTTGATATATATTTGTATCAGGGTCTGTAAGACAGACTACTGTCGTTCGGAATACCCCGTGTTAACATTTTAGAGGTTGCATGATTAGAAAACACATTCGACTGTCACTTTCATGATCTGGTAAGCGACGCTTTGATTGGTCGGATGAAAGTTCCTTCTGACGTGACCCGTAATTGGATATCCTCAAATGTTTGTTTAGCGATAGCCAGAACTAAGATCTGATTTTAATGAGATTGCACACGTTTTTGAGATTTGTTTATTTCATTTCCGAAGATTACCAGACGGGCGACGAAAAGGTCTTTTTAAAACACTGTCTGCACATGCGCACTGTTCTTAATGCAACCATGTTGCAACATAACACTGTTCAAGCGTATTGTTTTTTTTAATAAAAGAACAACAACCTAAATTTAAATATTATAGGGCCTGACCTGAAGTATATTAGCTAGAGAACACCCGATACATTCGTGACCAACTCGTGCCATTCGGGGGAAAGCCGAATGGAGACTTGTAGGTTACGGAAAGATGCGAGTGGTGACAAATGCACCCGATGTATGGTGGGACATTCCGTCATGCATGACACTAGCTGCCGCCATGTCTAGCCACATCCCCGTGGTGGCAGTGTACCGCATTTCCTACAAGCGTTGTTAGCACTGACGTGTAGCTGCTAGCATGTCCCCTGTCAGGGCGAACAGGGCGCTATATGTACAGCTCACTGTTTTACGATAGGCGCACCTCATTCCACTGCACAGACGTCAGCACTCGTCCTATTCCGTAGCCTGGCCGAGTGACACGAGTTTTCAGTTATGACAAAACTGATCACTGAAGGCAGCCATCGAATGATGTCCAAAGAGTTGAAGATCTAAAGTAACTCGTGATTTGATACGTCACAAAGGAATTCCCTTTCTCCACACCATTTAGATTTTATATGTTGAAAAACCAGGTGACGCTTACTCACGATAGTCTTAGCATCGTTTAAGGGTAAAGCAGGTTTTGAAGAGATGCTACCATTAAGTGAAGACAGGTTGAAATATCAGAATGATCTGGCAATAGGTTTATTTGTTCACGCTCCAGAAGAGCTAATTTTGAGTAATCGCTGTTTTTTGTATATTCTGTATAAACTAGTATCTTATTCACTTACCTAACACAGAGTCAAGTTCTCCAGGCAGCTATCGACTGAAAATCATAAGTACCAATGTCGTGAATCGAACCCGGGTCTTCGGCGTGACGAGCGAACGCTTTAACCACTAGGCTACCCGACCGCCCCTATGAACAGTTTGAGGAAATACATGTACACGTTAAATTGTGGTTGGATGGATATCTTCTTAGAATAAATATTTTGCGGTCTTAAATTACATTTCCAAACTGAATATGTAGACCAAACATGTCGGAATATACAAAATATGCTATCAAGGTGATATATCTTTCAGTTTAACAAAGTATTATCTGTTAGATGAATGTATGAATGGTTACAAAGTAAGTTCAGTCGAACAACGTTGAACCCTGGACACCCACTTTTAAGTTTCCTAAAAGCCGTCTGTTCGTTTGAAAGGCACTTTAATCCTAGATTTGACATGAACCAGTGCACACGTCTAAATTCAAATGATTAATGTGTTGACGTGACGTGAGTTCATATAGATGTAGGTCAGTTGTGCTTCTAAAAGTGATGCAACATTAGGGTAGCCGAGTTGTACAAGCAGACGCTTGTGCCGCCAAAGGTCGGGGTCAGGCCAGAACAAATTTTGCGCAATGTGTGCATACCGATTTTTACGTTCATAACTCCATAAACAGAAACACATTGAAGTAAATTCTTATAAAATAAGTTAACAAAGCCGACTGCAGAGACTGCTTGTTAAACGACTAACACACAAATTACTGTAGACAACAATACGAAATCAGTGACATCGTTTAGCGCAATAATCCAACACAAGCCCCGCCCATTCTATTATCAGCCAATGAGGAAACATTCTTTTAGCAGACGTGGCGTAGTTTCTTTGCAGTATATGGAAGCAGTATATGGGGCAATCAAATACCACGGATTCACTTCAAATATATTAATGAAATATATTTCCGGTGTTTCCTGACGTTATGTTGATGCGGGTTGTTTTTTTTGCAAAACGGCGTAAAGCTATATTCACTCGTTCTGTGGAGAACATATGTCCTCAGGGAGAAGGCTTCCGACATAACTGGAGGTCATACGTTTTGTTCGACAATCACACAGCGCAATAGGATGGCCTCCATTAGCCTGTAATTAGGTTTGGGAGCAAATAGGACCCGTGAAGATCCGGGATAGAATAGGTCTTAAAAGGCGACTCTGCTTGTCCTAAGAGGTGACTCACGGGATCGGGTGGTCGAGGTCGCTGACTTGATTGATGCAAGTAAATAGTATATTGCATGTGCCTCGTGAAATATCATCTATTTATCATACATTTGGATATTATTATCTACAAAATCATCTACAAAGTTGGGAAAAGTTCATTGCAGTGAACATAACACTTTAACGGAACTATTGTCATACAAGAGCCACCTTC